AAAAGGCTACCTACTATGAATCGCTTGAGGGTGCAACAGAGCCAGCATTCGTTCTAGATTTCCATCGGCCATCAGATGCGTAATGATGAGTGCTTTTTACTGCGATAAAAAACACTTGTCATTATGCATCTGGCAACATATGCGCTTTCACTTGACCCGCCCTCCACCCTTTAGGTAGTGGCAAGAGCACCCCTTTTTGTCCAGTTGGTGCTAGAAGCATCTCTCTTGCTGGCGTATCCTGGCCGAGTCGAAAGCTTCTGAGACGCTACTTGTCTTCAAGCGCCTCACTTCCACCTCGTTGACCATGTCGCGCTTCTCCTTGTTCATAGTACATTTTCTGCACTTCTTCTTCGACAGGTCGCCCTTGTAGCAAAATGCCGCCTCCGATCTGTTCGAAGCGAAAGGCCAACCGCAAGCTGTTTTCCATGTGCTCATTGGGATTTCCCAGCCAGCAACCGTCACTAGATGAAGGGTGGGGCTCGACCTGTTGTCTCTGATTGAGTACACCCATAGCTCCTTTGGCTTGCCAACTTCAAAGCTCGACACTCCCAGCTCGCTGCTGTTGCTCTTGTGCTCCGCCTTGTCGTTGTCCTTTCGAGCCGGTGTCGAATTTTCACGTCATCGGCGGGGTCATCGGCACTGGAGTGTCCCATCCCAACTCATTGGCAGCCGGCTTCGGAGTTCTCGGCGCCTTCCAGCTCGGGAAGTCTTTGGCATTGGGCGCCACCATCGGTGGCACGATAGAAAGGCGACCTCCTGTAACGGGAGCCCTGCTCTCACGTACATCATGGCTCCCGACCTCCGCGCCGAGTGTCCGGAGACGCCTTGTCCCAGTTTGCTCTTCCACGCCGTAGTCATACTCCTCGTGGACTTCACACCTTCGTACTTCTCCAGGAACACGTGCTCCGACTTTGAAGTTGCCCTAAAAGCGACCTCCGTCCAAACCTTCCAGGCGCAGGTCCAAGAGCACCTTTTCAGCCCACAGCAACCCAAAGTCCTCCTCACTCCCCATCCCGATTGGTCCATCTTCGAGATGGGGATCTTGAGCGTTATGTGCTTCTTCACCTCGTCCACCGACACATGTGACCACCTCACCGCCGCCACTTCCGCGCATCGAAGTATGAAGATGACGGCCCACGCATAAGCCAGCACTGGCTCACAAATTCCCATGTGCCACGAGCATTGCCAGAGTGCTCCCTCCAAACTCGAGAGCTTTACTTCCAATGCTCTCTCCGTTGGGCCGAGGTTTCTGGACACCGACTTCTTCGCCAGACCCAACAATCTATTCAAACTGTCTGACACCGAGTGCCCTTGCTCGACATGCCACAACTTGAGCTCGCTGATCAAAGCCGAAGCGGTCCTCAGCCTCGCTGCCTTGAGCGCCGCGGCAACGCCCAGAACCACCTTCTCATTCAACGGCGGGGTCCACCATTCGCCTCCCACCGCTTGCGCCAGTTCCATCACCAGCTTCCTCTTTGAAAGCTGGGCTTCCCTGCTGGGGTCGGACCAAAAGTCTTTCTTTAACAAGTCCACTGCATCCGTAAGCAGCGCCTCGTTCTTGGCGATCTCCAACGCCGCGTTAAAGGACCCCGCCTTTCGTTCTCCACCAAGGTCTCCCGGCTCTTTGTCCAGGATTTGTCAACCAAACGGTTCCAAACTTTCCACCTCCGTCTTCTGAGCTTCCAACTGCTGTCCCTTTCGTAACAGCTTCTCTAAGCTCGGTCTCGAAGTCCATGGCATGACGCCCGAAACAGTGAGCTTGCTTGTGCCCAGAAGCTTGGCCATCTCCTTCTCTGTGCGGCCGCTCACCTTCGACCTCCTTCTCACTTTTGCGTCCGACCCACTCCCCAGACCACTTTCTCCTCGTCCATGAAATCACGATCGGTCTGGCCCTGTCCAACATCCTTTTTACGATGGGGTCCACGTTTCTTGGGGTCGTTCCCGTCGTTTCTTCCAGCGAGTGCCATGGTGGAGCTGAGGCTCGAGGTGGCTCGCTTATTCTCAAAGCCTGGGCCGCCACAGGACGAACATTTTCTTCTCGATGTGCCGGAGGGATCCTCCCACCTTCCACAAATGGCGCATTGCCACTTGTTCCGCTCCTTTGTTTCCTTTGCTTCGGACTCAACATCCTTGAAGACGGGCGCCGAGATCTCGCTGATCTTCTGCGCCTCGCCTGGAGGAGAAAGCTGTCCTTCTCCTGCTGCGCGTCCCTCTGCCAGCCTCCTTCTGAAGAACAGCTCCATGCCTCCGGAGTTCGTGTCTTGCGCGCCCATCTGCATCCCCACATGGCCAGCCGCGTGCATAAAGAAATGCTCAGCGCCAGCAGCGCCAGCAGCCAGCACAAGCAGAGCGCCGGAGCCTCGGGCACGAGCCATGAGGCGGCCAGTCTAGCTGGCAAGTACGTGGAAGACTGCCAGACTACCACCTCCATGGCTGCAAGCTGCGATCGGCACGCAGAGCCGACTCGTGTTACACATGAAGAACTGAGCTAAGGCCCTGCGCTCACAGCTCAAGCAGATGCTACCCCACAGCCCTCCCCAGCTGCGGTCATCTGCACTCAAAAACTCTTTTACAGACACTCAAACAAGCTGTGCACATTATCTGTGCTGCTCCCCCACGCCGAGTCTTTGGACGGCGCGGTAAAGGGGTACCATGCAGCCAAGTCGATGCTGAGCTCCTTGACCTTGAGGTTGGCCAAAGCTTTCGGAGGTTCACCGGTGGATTGCTTGAGCGGTCTGCTCAACCAATCTGCTTCGTCATTTAGGGCTCCAGCAAGGCGATGTTCGACCAGACCGCAGATGCCACCCACCTCCAGGTTGAAGGCCACGCACGCGCCGAGGTAGTTGAGGGCTGGCGAGCTCGCTGCCAACTTTTTCACCATTGCCAGCGCCACCACCGAGTCGGAGCGAATGAGCACCAGCGTGCCCCTCAGCTTGTACCGCCAAGCCTGCAGCCGCGTAGAGCACGGAGACTAACCATCGCACGCGCAGCACGATTCCAGCTAGCCACGATAATTTTCCAGTCGTGGCTCGAAGGTCGCGGAAGGCTATCATGCCTTTGCCCTTCCATTCCTTCATCTTGGTCAACAACTCCGTGACCACTTTCTCCGGCACCGTCAGCAGCAGCAGCGCCCTGTTGACCGCAATCTCGAGCTGCACTCCGATCCAGCATATCCTGAGCCCCCGCTCGCCCTCGTGGAAAGCCAGCTGGATCCCCATCGCGGCCGCCGTGTAAAGGAGCATTGCCAGCACTCCTCTCCTTCGGCTTCTGGGGCCGACGAGCGCGAAGAGCGGGTCATCCATGTACAGCTGCAGCTCGCCATCCTTCATGACCATGGACTGCCACAACCTTGCCAAAGCGGCCGACAGCCTACCCATTATGAGCGGCGCCCCCTTGAAGCCGAACAACATCGCACAAAACACCAATATCTCGTCCTCTTCAAGGGCAGGCGCCAGACAGTTCTTGAGCTCGTCCGCCGCGACTCCGAAGTGGCAGTAGGCGTCCGACAGGTCCGCCCCAACCATTTCAATGCCCTCGTCCTCGTCTCCGCTGTCCGTCAAGTCGTCCAGCGGGTCCTCCTCTCGAAGCCTGGCGTCCTTCAACTTCCACAGCCTGCGCATCGACTCGGTGAAGTCCGTGCACCTAGGGAGCACTATCCTTTCTGGCACCCTGGCTCGGGCGTTGCCACCACCGGAGAAGGTCGATGATGATGCGCCTTTTTATGGTTCCGTCTCCCTTTTCCTTGACGATCAGTGCAAGTTTGCTGACCGTCCCGGAGCCGAACCTGTGCTGCGCGTCGGTCTTGGCCATCCTCTTCGCGAAGCCCTTGTCCAGGTACCGGCCAAGTTCCAAAGACGCGCCCTCCGGGTCTGCTTCCACCGAGGAGTAGTTCTTGAAAGCGGAGCGCCATTCCAACTGCTCGGCGTCCATCGTCCATCGCCTTCGGGAACACCCCGCTTGCCGGTATCTCGACACTCATGCCCAGCGGGGCCCCTGTCCTCGCCCAGATCGCAATGTACTTTTCCGGGTCGGCCCATAGACCCGCGTTAAGTGGGCTTTTGAACTCTATCTTCTCCTTAGGACGACCTTGTCGACTCGCCCATGTAGCAGCTCTCGCAGCTCTTCCTCCCAGGCCTCCACCAGGTCCATCTCGAGGCTGCAGGAGTCGCCGCCATAGGTCTTGGCCGCCGAGACAACCTCGGGGTGGCAAACCTTCTCCAGAGTCTGGCGCAGTCTCCGCCACCTCGGCCACCTTGCTTAGGCGTCTGACTGCCTAGCGGTTGCGCACGCCACCCACCGCGAACTCGTTCTCCTCCTCGCGCTGGCCTTTCTTCGAGAGCTTGCTGTCCGGGCCTTTGTGCTCCACGGAGTCCGTCCACGTAAAGGACCTCTTCACCGCGGCGCGGGGCTGCTCCCTCTGCTGCTGCTTCTCCTTCGACTCGTACCACTTCAGCTGCAGCGCCGACTGGCGCCGCCACCATTCAAAGTCTAGTGTCCGCTTCCACGCCTTGACCAGGAGCTTGGCATACTCCGCGCAGAGCTCTGCTGGATACTCGGCCGCTGCCTCGGTCCTGTCCTTGCCAACGAGCTCCTGGTGTCGAAAGCCAGCGGGGCAACCGCACTTCCGACTCAAGGTTTGGAGCCCGTCCAGTCTTCCCACGAACTTGCCCGGCTTAGACCACCTTAGTCTGCAAGTGCTTTGGAAGGCGCAGGTGTTGAACAGGGCTTCCACCGCGTCCAAATCCTCCACGAAGGCCACCACCTCCGGAAGCATCCAAACCGGGCCATCCGGTCCGCCGTCTGTGCCTGGCGGATTTTCGATGGCGCCCGCCTCGGGCACTTTGCGCAGCCGCTGAGTTCTGACGATCTCTGCCACCACTTCGCAACTTCTCGTTGCTAGCAAGGTGCCTTCGTCAGCTTGTCGTTGAAGACGGCTGTTGTTCGAAGACAGCCCGTATATTTCTGTTTTGCTTCGGACTGGAGGCGGTCCGGCCGTCAGCATTCCAGCGGCCCGGCGTGTCCAGCATCCCACTCGCCAGCCTTCGCCTGCTCGAGCAGCGTGGGCGCGTTCGCCAAGAGGTTCTCTTGCATGGGTCCGTTCCAGTCCACCGCCCGGATCTCCGCTTGGACACCGGCTTTAGCTGCTTCAGTCTGCACTGCTTTCCCCAAAACGTCGGTCTTCCCGAAAACAGGTGGAGAAACCTGAAGGTGCGGCCCCTCTTGAACGCGGCGAAGTCCGAGGCCCTCTTCAGCAAGTCCCTGACCCGACCCGGGAGCCATGGCAAGTCACCCTCGGGGCAGGGGTGCGCTGGTTCTGTGCTCCCACTGGCGCGCTCAGCCATCTTGACTGAGACGCACAACCCTTGCAAGCAGACCCTAGACTTCAAGCTCCTGCTTTTCTCACTTGAGGGGGCACGAATCGTTGCGGTGAGAAGGCGAGAGGCAGAACTGGCATTTGTGTACACGTTTGACTTGGCATTTGCAGTCGCCACCTGCCGGAACATCAGCACAAGGTCCGGCACCCGAGGCCCAGCTGAAACAAAGTTGAAGACCGGACTGATCCTTAGTCTCGCCCTTTCCGCCGCCCTTCTTCTGCTGGCCCTCCGTGCGCTCCGTCTTCCTGGCGGACTTCAGCTTCTGCAACTCGTCCCGCTGGTCCTGGATCCTCTTCTTCTTCGCGGTGCGCTTGTCCCGATTGGCTTGCTTTCTTCGCTCCATGTCGGCAGAGCTTGTCGCACCTCCACCGCTGAGCTCCGAGCCCGGAAAATGAGCTCCAGCTATTGCTTCGGCAGCGGCTATGGGAACTCCACGTCCACCAGCAGCGAGCCACGAAACGGCTGGGTGTCGAACTTGCTCTGACCAAAAGCTTTCATCTCGAGCCAGCGCCTGCATGCATGCGGTCCACGGCGCATCCGCGCCCCAGTCTGCTGGCACAGCTTTTCCCTGAGCTGCCTCCGCCGTGAAGTTCCGCCTGATCTTCTCCAACCTTTCCGCCCGAGCTTTGTCTTCTGCTTGGCAGATAAGCCCCCACGCCGCCGGCCATTGGACCACCAGCCTCTCGATCGTCTTCTCGTAGTTCAGCAGCGCCGTCAACGATATGATCCCCAACATCAGGGCTGCCGTCTTGAGCACTTTCCAGCAAGCTTGCCATTGAAGCAGGTTTTGGGGTCCGGGCATCTCTCTCATGAGAAAGCTTCCGTCCCCTAGCGGGGTATAGACGCGGAACTTCTGCTGCTTGAGGGCCCTCCTTCCAAACGGCACCCACACCCCAAAATCGACATAGGGAGCCTGCTTCAGCACCACCACTCTTTTATGTAGTCCGGCCAGCTGGGCAGCCGTCGGCTCCTCTTCCTCCTCTGGAGGGCCTCCCATCAGCAAGGAGTATCTCTGCAGCCACGCTTGGACTTGTGCATTGTCCGGAGGAAGTAGTTCGCTTTCATCTGTCTGATCCACCAGAGCCGCCATCTTCAAGACGCTTTCCTTCACTGCCGCCTGCGCTGGTCTCGCTGCCGCCGGTGTCGTCCCGGAACCAGATGGCTCCCAAGGGTCCACGTCCACGAACTGAGTCTCGTCACCACCAGCTTTCAGGAACACCATTTTTCTAGCAGAGCGCCACACCAGCCCCAACTGAGCGGCCTGAACGACCGAAGCGCCCCTGCTAGGCGCCACTTGCACGCTGCCAATCGCCTGCGTGATGGCCCATTTGGTGAGTGCAGCCACCTGCCGGGTGTCCCCTCCGGGATCACCCATGACATCTGTGAGAGCCTTCCATAGCGAAGTCGAAACGCCCAGCAGCGTCAGGAGGTCCCCCAGATTGTTGCACGAAGCCAGGTCCGTCTTGCTCGGCAAGATGTCCATGACGTATCCCCAGCCGCAGCCGCTCGCGCTCAACAAACGAAAGCACCGCCGCAGACCATGGAGCAACAAAAATCTGGAGGACGTACTTCTCAGCTTGCACGACTTGAGTCCACAAGCTTCAGCGAGCAAGCTTCGAGCCCGCTACCGACCCTACTTACAGCACTGTGTGTTTTGCCTGAGCTTACGGTGTGCGCTTCATTCTATCGCGATAGCAAACACGCTT